GTAAGAACTTGTTCGTTATGCTTCAGAAGATTGGAGACTGACGAGAATTAGACTTGACATTGATTAATGATTGTACATTGAGCATTGACCCCCCTATACTGAATTTTATTGTTGTTAACAACCATTTGATCAATAAATATAAGAGATGCCCTCTCAAAAAAAAAAAAAATTTTGTTTTGTAACAGAACACTATTCATATTTATCAGGGCTAAGAAATGGTCAAAATAGTTACCAGTTTAATGTGAAAACAATCTTACACGAAAGTATTTACACAGGGGCTTACATCAAACAAAAAAACACATTTTCTTTTAATGAATGAGTTTAACTTTTAATTTATGTTTCAGGTTCCCTTACTAAAGAAAAGAGGGATATAAACTTAAGGATTAAATGTCTTCTTTCAAAGCAATTCTTTAGTAACAAAAACAACAGGCTGCTTAACAAAGAAACCAAACATACAAAAATCACTCCATACCTTTTGTCAGCAAGATCTGTTTTATTTCCTACTAGCATGATGATAACATCACTTCCTCTCTCTGTTCTGACATCATCAATCCATTTTGTAGTTTGCTGGAATGAGTTAACATCTGGTATAGGAGGGTGGACAGAGAGATTAGTGAGATCAGTGTTATTGCAAATGCTTCCCCAAGTGATGGACCAAAGAAAGAAAAAAAGCCCTGGAAACTGGAAGGAGACTGGCACATTAGGAACCACTTTCAATGTGCCTGCAACGTAACTCCATTTTATCTGAGTATGACTGTCAGTAATGAAAACAAATTGAAAAAATCAAATCCTCAAAGTTCCTTTTGTAGTACTTTGAAATTTTGTACTTGACTATGTGAGTGCAATGTACTGTACGTAAATTTTAAAAAACTTTTTAAAATGTAAGGACAGCTATGGCAGATAATATAGTGTTACATTGCCACAATGATTTTTTGATTACTTACACATACCAAACATGACAAAGAAAGCATCTCCAAAAGTATGTCAGCCAGTAAGTCCCAACACATCCAGATAATTTCTATAAAGCTGTCAACACCACTCTGTTTGCACTGCTTATTCAGTTTGTGATCACTTTAATTTGAACGTTATTAGCCTAAAGCACCAGAATCACTTATAATAAAAGTCATCTTTTCTAGCATTGGATTTTAAGTTAAGCACCTCAATACTTTTTACTAAAAGTTAAAGAAAGCAATTTACTAATATTTTGTATAGTTTAATGCTTTCTATTTTAATATTCAGTATATAGTAATATTTTAATATTACTAATATTTTAACCATATTTGCACAATTTTTAAAGAAAAACACCCCAGGTTTCACTTGATTTGGTTAAAGTAAGCACAAACATTTTAAAGCTGCAAAACTTGTCACTGCACAATAATGAAATACATTTATTTAGACATGTAGCAACCCAAAGTAAAGCTTTAAGAAAAGGAAGATTGCATATAGAACCTAACCAAAACAGAAAGAAAAAAATCTCTGAATGCAAACTTCTAATTTTTAATTTTGCCATTATAATTATTAAGCAGCTATGAATTCTGGTTGAGCGAATATACAAAAATATATAGGAATAGTATTATAAGCCTAAGTCAATATTGTATATACAATGTTTTTAGAGAAGTCCAAGAAGCAGCACTATCCTGGCTTTCCTATAAATTATGGACCACTATATGGAATGATGCCTACCTAGTATTACCTAATATATAACATAAACCAATTTACAGAGACAATTTAATCAGAGAACATTTCTCTGTCACCAATGAATGCTCTATTTATGGTCACTTAAAATGTCAAAGGCATTATTCAGGTTTTAGGGAAAAGAAAAAAGAACACTGCTATTTGTTTTAGTCTCCCATTTAGAATGTTTTCTTGGAGAAATGAAAATGCAGTTTGTTAGGAATGAAGTAAGTATATCAGTCACAGAATCCAGATATGATTCAAATGAAATGATTAATAGAAAACCGCACATCATGTTTCCTCTGTTTCCCTCTAGAGAAAGGATGGCTAGAAGGGGAAAGCAGAGAAAAGTTGGCTAGCATAAATTTTTAACAGCCTCAACAGAAGCCTTGGAAAACTTGGCAAGAGGCATAAATGCAGATTTCAGACAAATCTGAAATCAAGTGAAATGAAAAAGGAGACATTCTTCCAACTATAATTATGGTGTAGCTTAGGGATAACAGGATACTAAGAAAGCCTTGGAGAGGATTCACAATCGGACCCAAAGGAAAATTTCCAGGGCACAGAAGAAATAAAGCATACTGGTACAAACACCAAAGCAAATACTTCTGACCTAGCTGGTCTGTAATAAAGTTTGCTATGATTAAACTTATTTTTACATGCCAGTACAGAAAACAAGCACGAGACAAGTACATGCATGCAGCTAAGCTAAAGGGTGAAAGAAGATTAGAAATTTGTAATTCCCCCCACTCACTTGTGATATCATAAACAACAACTGCCACAGTGGAGTCACGAATGTAGCTAGGAATCAAGCTCCTGAACCGCTCTTGACCTGCTGTGTCCCATAATTGCAATCGTACCTAACAACAAAATCAGTCAAACAAGCAAGAAAGATAAGAAAGGTCAACCCATTGTAAAATACCTACTTGTGATATCGTAAACTACTACGGCTGCAGCAGAATCACGGATGTAACTGGGAATGAGGCTACGGAAACGTTCCTGACCCGCAGTATCCCACAGCTGCAGCCTGATCTGTGGGATGGGAAAAAATAAATAAAAAAAAAACAAAAACAAAAACAGACTCATACTAAAAAGAAAAAAAGAAATAATGTTTTTAAAAGGGCAAGGGTGGGAAGGAGGTAAAAAGGAGATTCATGCAAATAGGTTGCAGGGATGGAGGAATGAAAATAACAAAAAACTCCTTTCTTTTTTCAAAAGGAGTAAGTAATATAAAAAAATCTGCTTGCTCTGAAGGTACATAACTTAAAAATGGCAATGGGAAAGATTTCACAGACTAAGAAATATAGCTTCCTTTTCTCCCCGCTTCCTATAACCTTTCTTAGAATACTATGCCTTCCAGATAGCAAAAAGTAGACTCTGCTGTTCAAATAGTAAGCATAAAAGAGGAAAATGAAGGTAAATGTCAGTGAGCAGCCCAGGCTATCAGAGTAAAAGAATTAATGCTTCTCTGAAAGCCTCTCTGAAGCTAAAAGGTGTCTCTTTTCTATTTAGTCCAGAACACTTTGAAATTGGGTATTTTTAATACTGCGCTTGTGTTTCTCCCACACATTTCTTCCCAGAGTATTATAAATACTCTAACAAAAGAAATATCTTTGTGCAACCTCCATAAAAATTTCACTTTCTTACTTTTTCCCATCTATATTTGAGGAAGCAAAGCATGACAACAAGCATTAAGTTCTTTTATCATTATAAAGCAATTTCTAAGTTTTCAAATTTTAAGAAATGGCGTACCATATATTAAAACATAAAAGAGAACATCCAAAAGAAAAAACTCAGACACTTATAAGAAATAGTATTACAGATAAAATAATGTTTTGGGTACAGATCCCAAAATATTGCACTTAAGATAGTCACTGTTCAGGTAACAGGGATCTCTTCAAGGGATAGTAGAGTCGACTACAGAAGTTCACAGTACCTAAAGGGAACATTCCAGAAGACAGAAGACAAAAATCTAACACATAAATACAAATTACTTCTTTCTATTCACAGTCACTTTGAATAAAACCTTGAAGTTCACAAACTGTGTGATAATTAAGTGAAATTTTTGAGACTGTCTTAAAAGTGAGATTCAAAAGGTCTTCAGCAGCTCTACTTTCTTGTTTAATTATCTCATTCCTATTTATTATAATTTTCCCAAATTAAGATGACAAATTCTGTGTAAAAATCTAGAGCCATCAAGGTTTTACAAATAACTTGGCTTTTTCTCCTTTCTGGATTTCACCTGGGGATAAAGTCAGCATGCTAAGTACTCTGTAATAAGTTTATCTCAAGACCTGTAAAACAACTTCGGAAACTTTGCTAACTACTTCATATGGTGACAATCATTGATTATAACTTTGATAATATTTTTCTATCCTGGAGTGTTGTAGAAAATTGCTCACTTAAAAAATTACTCACTGTTCGATCCTCCAAGTACATTGTTTTTGATAAAAAATCAATACCAATTGTTGCCTGTAAGACAAAACAAAACAAAGTTTAAAAATATTAATAATTTAGTGGTGGTCAGTGGGAATTGTAATTGTGGAAGAAATACTGAATAAACAAATACATTATAGATAACTACAAACAAACAAAATTTTCAGTAATAGGGGCTTTCCAACTATTGAGCCCTTGCTGTGTATTAGGGATTCTTTAAAGCCCTTTACATGATCAACTCTAATCCTCATGTATCTCTGCAAGGTAGCTATTATCATCCCTATTTTTCTTATTTTATAGAAAACAATTATCGGTCTTCAGAGATGTTAAATAACTTGTCTAAGGGCACAAATCTTCTGCTGTACAGTTGGGAAGAAAAGTCCAGCTCTTTCCAGTATATGCTGGTATCTATTTCATAACTGTGGTAAAATACACATAACATAAAATTAGCCATATTAAACATTTTCTTAAAAGGCTATTTCTTAAAAAAAAAACTTTCTTGAAAAAGCACTCTTAGGCTCTTTGCAAAACTAAGAGGAAGCAAAACAGAGTATTTCCCATATACACTTGGCCCCACATATGCACAGCATCCACAATTATCAATATCCCCCACCAGAGTGCTACATTTGTTATGACTGATAAACCTACATTGACTCTGATATACTTTTAAAAATAGGTTTTATCTTTAAATTGTGTTTAGAAATATGTATCATAGAATTTGACATTTTAAACTTTTAGGTGTACAATTCAATGGCATTAATTTCACAATGATGTACAAGTCAGTTTCTCATCTCCTCAAGCAGAAACTTTGTATTCATTAAGCAATAACATATTACAATGTAGGATTCTATCACACTGTGTTTATCCATTCATTTACTGATGAACGTTTGAGTTGTTTCTACCCTTTGGCTACTGTGAGTTGCTGTTTCCAATTCCTTTTGGCATATACCTAGAAGTGAAACTGCTGAGGTGTATGGTAAGCCTATTTCACTTTGTGAGGAAACACAAGACAGTTTTACATGGTGGCCACACCATTTTAAATTCTCACTAGCAAAAGTATGAGGGTTCCAATTTTCCACATCCTGTGCAAACATCTATTTTCCCTTTTTTAAATTAAATAGCAACCCTAATGGGTGTGAAGTAGACCATTAATGTACTTTTGATTTCCAATGATTAATGATGTCGAGCATCTTTTCATATGTTTACTGACCATTTGTATATCCTCTCTGGAGAAATGTCTAACTCCTTTGTCCATCTTTAAACTGAGGTTGTCACTTCATTATTGATTTGTCCTTTATATGTTCTGGATATCAAACCTTTATAAGATAAGTAGCTTTTTTTTTCATGGGGGGTACTTAACAAAAGCATTCATTCATTCATGACATCAGTCTGCTTAACTATTTGGCAGATTACATAATGATTTTTTTTTTAACCAAAGAATCATTGATTCACAATCTGATGTTCTTTCAAATACACTACACAGTGATTCAACATTCACCCATATTATCAAGCCTTCACCCCCTCTAGTATGGTCACCGTTCATCAACGTAGTAAAATGTTACAGAATCATTAAACCTATTCTCCATGCTGTAGTACCATTCGCATGACCAACCTATATTGTGATTGAGAATTATCATGCCCTAAATCTCCTTCCCCCATTTCCACCCTCCTCGTTGGTGACCGCTAGTCCCTTCTTAGTGTCATGAATCTACTGTCATTTTGTTCCTTCTGTTTTGCTTTGTTTGTAGAGTCCCCAAATAAGTGAAATCATTTAGTATTTATTTGTCTTTCTCTGCCTGGCTTATTTCACTGAGCATAATACCCTCTAGATCCATCAATGTTGTTGCAAATGGCAGGAATTCTTTTCTTTTTATGGCTGAATAATATCCCATTGTGTATATGTACCACATCTTCTCTATCCATTCATCTACTGATGGGACATTTAAATTGCTTCTGTATTTTGGCTATTGTAAACAGTGCAGCAATAAGCATAGGGCTTCATATGTCTTTTCAAATCAGGGATCTTGCTTTCTTCAGGAAAATTCCTAGGAGTAGAATTACTGGGTCAAAAGGTATTTCTATTTTTGGTTTATGAGGAACCTCCATATTGCTTTCGATGATGGTTGCACCAATTGACATTCCAACCGACAGTGTAGGATGGTTCCCATTTCTCCGCATCCTTGCCAGCACTATTTATTTCTTGTCTTTTGGATAGTGGCCATCTTAACTGGTGTGAGGTGATATCTCATTGTGGTTTTAATTTGCATTTCCCTGATGACTAGCAACGTGGAGCATCTTTTCATGTGCCTGTTGGCCATCTGTATCTCTTCTTTGGAGAAGTGTCTGCTCAGGTCCTCCACCCATTTTTTTTGTTCAGGTTATTTGTTTTTTGGGATGAGGCATATCAGTTCTTCATGTATTTTGGATATTAACACCTTATTGGATAAGTCATTTACAAATATATTCTCCCATATTGCAGGAAGGCTTTTTGTTCTGCTAATGGCATTCTTTGCTATACAGAAGTTTTTAGTTTGATGTTACCCCACTTGTTCATTTTTCATTTTGTTTCTCTTGCCCGAGGAGATGAGTTCAGGAAAGAGTTGCTCATGTTTATTTATATTCAAGAGATTCTTGCCTATGTTTTCTTCTATGAGTTTTATGGTTTCATGAATTACATTCAGGTTTTTGAACCATTTCAAGTTTACTTCTGTCTATGTATTTAGACAATAACCCAGTTTCATTCTCTTACATGTAGCTTGTCCAGTTTTTTCAGTATCAGTTGTTGAAGAGGCTGTCTTTTCTCCATCGTATAGTCATAGCTCCTTTATCATATATTAATTGACCATATATGCATAGGTCTATATCTGGGCACTCCACTTTGTTCCATTGATCTGTGAGTCTGTTCTTGTGTCAGTACCAAACCGTATTGATTACTGTAGCTTTGTAGTAGCACTTCAAGTCAAGGAGGATAATCCCCCCCACCTTTGTTGTTCTTTCTCAGGATTGCTTTCCCTATTTGGGGTCTTTTGTGGTTCCATATGAATTTTAGAACTATTTGTTCTAGTTCACTGAAGAACGCTGTTGGTATTTTGATAGGGATTGCATTGAATCTGTAAATTGCTTTGGGAAGGATGGCCATTTTGACAATATTAATATTTCCTATCTATGAGCATGGGGTAGATTTCCATCTTTCGGTGTCTTCTTTAATTTCTCTCATGAGTGTCTTGTAGTTTTCAGAGTATAGGTCTTTCACCTCCTTGGTTTGGTTTATTCCTAGTTATTTTATTCTTCTTGATGCAACTGTAAATGGAATTGTTTTCCTGATTTCTCTTTCTGCTAATTCATTGTTACTATATAGGAATGAAACAGATTTCTGTGTACTAATTTTGCATCCTGCAACTTTGCTGAACTCAGTTACTAGTTCTAATAGTTTTTTGGTAGAGTCTTTAGGGTTTTCTATGTATAATATCATGTCATCTGCAAATAGTGAGAATTTAACTTCTTCCTTACCGATTTGGATGCCTTTTATCTCCTTGTGTTGTCTGACTGCTGTGGCTAGGACCTCCAGTACTATGTTGAATAAAAGTGGTGAGAATGGGCATCCTTGTCTTGTTTCCCAATCTTAAGAGGAAAAATCTTTTGGCTTTTTGCTATTAAGTATGATGTTGGCTGTGGGTTTGTTGTATATGGCCTGTATTATGTTGAGGTATGTATCCTCTATACCCATTTTGTTGAGAGTTTTTATCATGAATGGATGTTGAATTTTCTCAAATGCTTTTTCAGCATCTATTGAGATGATCATGTGGTTTTTATCCTTCTTGTTGATGTGATATATGATATTAATTTACAAATATTGTACCAACCTTGCATCCCTGGATGTTCTGTTTGATGTATTTTTGGATTTGGTTTACCAATATTTTGTTGAGGATTTTTGCATCTATGTTCATCATGGATATTGGCCTGTAATTCTGGTATTAGAGCAATGCTGGCCTTGTAGAATGAGTTTGGAAGTATTCCCTCCTTTTCTACTTTTTGGAATACTTTAATAAGGATGAATATTAGTTCTTCTTAAAATGTTTGATAAAATTTAGTTGCAAAGCTATCTGGACCAGGAATTTTGTTTTTAGGCAGTTTCCTGATTACCAATCTGATTTCATTGCTGGTAATTGATCTGTTCACATTTTTCTGTTTCTTCCTGGGTCAGTCTTGAAAAGTCGTGTTTTTCTAGAATCTTGTCCATTTCTTTTAGTTTGTCCAATTTATTGGCATATAATTTTTCACAGTATTCTCTTAGTAACTGTTTGTATTTCTGTGGCGTCCGTTGTGATATTCCTTTTTTGTTTCTGATTTTGTTTATGTGTGTACACTCTCTTCCTTGATTAAGTCTGGCTGGGGGTTTATCTTTCTTGCTTATTATCTTAAAGAACCAGCTCCTGGTTTCACGGATTTTTTCCTATTGTTTTACTCTTCTCTATTTTATTTATTTTTGCTCTGATCTTTATTATGTCCCTCCTTCTACTGACTTTGGGCTTCATTTGTTCTTTTTCTGCTTTCGTTAATTGTGAGTTTAGACTGTTTATTTTGGATTGTTCTTGTTTATTGAGATAAGCCTGTATTGCTATGTACCTTCCTCTCAGAAATGGCTTCGCTGCATCCCACAGGTTTTGGGCTGTTGAGCCGTTCTATTCATTTGTCTCCATGTATTGCTTGATCTGTTTTAATTTGGTCACTGATCCACTGATTATTTAGAAGCATGCTGTTTAGACTCCATGTGTTATAGACTTTGTTTTCTTTGTGTAATTTATTTCCAATTTTATACCCCTGTGGTCTAAGAAGCTGCTTGATACAATTTTTAAGTTTATTGAGTCTCTTTTTGTGGTTTAGTATGTCATCTATTCTGGAAAACGTTCCATGTACACCTGAGAACACTTAAGAAGAACATTTGGGTGGATGTTCTGTAGATATCTATTAAGTTCATTAGATCTAATGTATTGCTCAGTGCCTCTGTTTACTTAATTCCTGTCTGGCTGATCTAT